GCCCTGTGTACAGCCCACCGAACGTCTCGAGGAACAGTACAGCGGCTTCGACGTTTGTGATCATACGGATAGCTCCTGTTGCTGAGTCTGCTACAAGGATTCGCCCCCCCCCCTTCTTTGTAGCTAGATGTCGCCGAGTCTTGACGGTTTTTTTAGTTTAACAAAGTGTAGAAAGGGGTGTCTGTGCGGCTGATCCCCAGCATGGCATCCGAAGTCTGGAAGGAATTTTAAAACTTCAAAAGGATTTTGGCAACACAAAGAATACATGTGAAGCAAAAAGAGAACACAGTACCCTTCTTACTTGAGTGTGCCGTCGCCATCTTTGGTCATGAATTGTTGGAATATAAAGTACCCTTCTTATTCTGATGGGTAGTTTTTGTTTTTTTTATTAAACCACTTAATTGGTCAACCTTTGCTGTTTTTTTAATATCTTAATACTACAAGTATTTGCACAAAATATTTGTCTGTTTTGTGTGTTCTCACCATTTATAAAGATATGTAGTAACTTACAGTGTATGTAAGGTGCACAATCTTCGATGTGGGTAGTGTCACGGAAGTTTTCTGCCCACTTCCTTGCTGCAGCCCTGTACTCCCCATGTCGCTCTGGATTCCGTGGAGTATTCATAAGTCGAGAAAACTCCTATGCAGAGGGATTTGCAAATAATGAAACATTGTTCTTGACTTTTTTTTCTGAAATCTATGTAATCTGTTCGCGTCATGACGTACAGATGTATCTTACTGAAGGGTATGCCCCGAAACTCCAGGTACTCCCTCACAACAAACGGCTGCATTGTCCCTGGCACGTACCTCAACCAGGCACCATACCCTCCACACAAAAGGAGATGGCCAATCTTCCGCATGGCCAGTAGCATTCATAAACTGACCCATCATCTTCAGCTCGTGCTCCTGTTGCATTTTCAACATCTTGAGCTCGTGCTCTGCTCTGCTCTTTTCTGCTGCTGACTCCTATTTCCGTTTTGCAGCGATGCCATCGTTTTGGCAAGTCATGGCTGCCTTCAGCCTGGTCTTTCTGTTCTTGTCTGTTGTCCTGACTAGTACATGAGTAAGAAAGAATGAATAGTAAGTGGTGCCCACTCCGCGTGTAGTATCGTATCCATAGGGTCATACAAAACTACAGAAGAAAAGAACATACACGGTCATACATGTATATGGTGACTGTAAATCCATCCTACTATACAATTGCAAATAACACTGAACAGAAATGAGAATGAAGTAAAAGAAAATTAATAATTGTGGTTCAGATACTGGATGTGCGCATTTTGGAATATTATTGGCCGGTACCCTCTGTCAGTCCCCCCCCCCCCCTCCCTGTCCATTCCCCTCCCCTCGTCCATTGTTTCTCGTGTTTGGTGCAGAGTTTTGGCGATTGCGTCTACGTTGACGACGTCTGTTTCCTCTGGGAACGTTGTGCCGTTGACCCCTGGCGGCGTTCAGAGGTCCAGTCCCTCCGGCGGCGTTCAGAGGTCCGGCGGCGTTTAGAGGCCCAGTCCCTCCGGCGGCTTTCAGAGGCCCGGTCCCTCGGGCGGCGTTTACAGGACCTCTTCATCATTGACACTACTTTAGTTTACACACAATCGGCGTTGCATTTTGTCCGTATCGCGCCGTCGTCACTATAGTATAGACTGTATGTCCAAATCCATTATAACTATAAATCATTGTCCTGTTTCGTTCCGTCAATCCGATAAGGTCATGGGAATCTGTTGTTGTTAGTTCCAACGATGGCCCATATAGGGCATGTTGGGGGATTGGGATAGCAATACCTTACGAGGGTCGTCACACACTCGAGCATGACTTCCCTCGTGACTATCTGCACGCCATCCGCCTCCATCCTCTCCCGTTCGCGCGCCAAATATCGAGCGTCTTTCCACCCACCTTTCTGCTTTATCCTCGTCCAGATCCTCCTGTTTTTTGTTTGCCTGGTGCTAGAGTTCTTGTAGTGTGGAAGATGACTGGACAGCAGGGCACGTCCCTGGCCAATCCTCTCCGCGTAGTACGCCGTCACACAGGGCCGTAAAAAGGAATGACTGCTGACGTTAGTGCAAACAACATAAGTTTCAAGGTCAGAAAACGATTTAAGGAAGTGGAACGATACTCACTCCCACGTTTGGCACGCTGGCTGAACTCCATTCCATGTTCTCTATTCTCAAGTGAATCTTTGGTCAATTTGTGAGTGTTTTCACAAACAAAAAGGTCACTGTTGCTTGAACCTGTCACCCATGCACCAAAACAAATTACCCCAAAAGTGTCCGTTGTTTTACGGCGCTCCATATTTTCTGTGTTGTCGAACACATAGTAGCAGTCCAGTCTGAGTCCTGTGGGGGGTGTCACTGTCGCTGTGGGTAGAGGTTTGTTTGGTTATTTCGGCACCTTTGGGGCGCCGGTTGATCACCTTGTGTCGGGTCGTAATCCGGGTCAAGCTGCTGTGGAATGTTCATGTTTTCAAAATGCACCACCTTCACCTCTCGCCGGCCGCGGGTGTTTTGCACTTTGTAGGCGTGGTCGCGTACCCGTCCCAGGACCCGATACGGGCCATTGTACTTCCTGGCCAGTTTCCGGGCGAAACCTTGGCCCACTGCCTTGTTTAAGATCAAAACAAAGGCATCTGCGGCGTACGGCTCACCATATACCTTCTTGTCAAATAACTCTTTTTGGCGGCATTGTTTTTTGAGAAGATTGTTGCTGCACCTGGTAGAAAAGGGCGGGGAGGGAATCATTTAGCCTTGTGACAAACTTGGGGATGGTGGTTTCTGACATGGGGACACCTGTTAGCAGATGTAATGGTAGCCGGGCTTCGCGCCCGTGCATTAGGAAGAACGGGGAGAACCCAGTTGTAGCGTGACAACTTGTGTTGTAGGCAAAACGTACGGCGGGAAGGTGGATGTCCCAGTCCCGCTGATGGGCAGCAACATACGCCCGGAGAATATTGCCCATCGTACGGTTAAACCTTTCTACTAAACAATGAGACTGGGGGTGGTAGGGTGTCGTGCGGGTTTTAAACTCAGATGGTCCCGACACTCCAGGTATGACCTTAAATGTGAGCTTGGTGGGATAGCTTGGATCAAAGCATCAATAACTTATCTTAAAGTATAACCTTGGCGCAACCCAATCTGGTATGTGATGGAACTGAAACTCAGCTCACAATGTCACCCGCAGTGCTAAACACTCTTTCGCTGGGAACGCTTGTACCTAGTACAATAAGGTACTTCCGGGCACATCTGCTGAGGAGAGGGAGGTCATCACCTTTTCCCTGCCAGAACGCAATCACGTCATGATGTGAGACACTACAGATTTCCACTTGTCAACAGCGAGCTGTCTGTTGTCATCTGGACTTCACACCACTGCCCACCCAAGGCTTCAGGACCTGGCACCCTTTCCTATGGCTCAGGTGTTGGAGCTTTTTCTTCACACCTACAAAACATAAAGAACATGCAGGGATGGTGTTGCAGAAAGATGTTTAAATTTTGTAAAGAGTGTTCAGAAATGGTTTAACAAAAAACTGGACTTTTTTTAATATAGAAAATCCGTTGAACATTCTATAGGGTGATCATCATGAAGCAGTACCAATTATATGCAATCTTATAATATTACTGGGAAAGGTGTATATTTTCAAGAATCGTCATTCCGCAACTATGTCATTGTATAGAATCCTTTGTAAATAATTTTAAAGCCACAGAAGAAAGCATCGCACGAAAACAAAACAATATGATCAGTCATTACAGAAAATGGGGAGATTTAGCAAATATATCGACTGGGTAGAATGTTTTTATGTAATTCAGTGTGTGTGTACTCTTACGCTATATCGTTTGTCTTTTTGTACGCTCTTTTGTTCTGTTGAATAAAGATTTGTTAAAAAATTTAAAAAAAAACAAAAACATGCAGGGATCTTATGAATAAATTGTTATGGTGCCACAGCCCTGCACACAATTAAAAATTTTGTCAAACTATACAGTACTGTGTATTCCAGACAGGATTGACTTATGACTAGAATACTACATTTTCATGAAATTAAAAAAAAATGTACTTGAAAAAATATGCACTTGCTTCTGGCAACGTGCCGGATGTCAAACAGGTGCTTGATAGTAGGGTGATCCTCTCTGATCATCTTGTTGATGCCTATGTGTCGGTCGGTGACGAGAGTCCCCACCTCCACATCCACACTCTCCATCCACGCCAAGGACTTCTCCAATCCTTTTTACTCCATATGGTAGGATCCACCCACCTCGTTGCTCTGCAAAAAATATTGCAGACAGCTGTAATATAAACCAACATAGGCACTTTTCCCATACAAATACAATTATACCGGGTAATCTATGCACATAAGCTATGCCACAAGCAAAATGTACCTGGACTAGCTGCACGTCGATGACCTTTCGTTGGTTTAATTTCATTAGGGTGTACGAGCCGTACTTCGCACAGTGGCCGGGGCTGTCGGCACTTGCCATCTGTTAGTGTTAAAGTTGTACATCGTTGCACGTCCCTGCTGCAAGTGCCGGCTGCCTTCGGCTTCCACTGCTTTTTTGCGCCCATGCGTAATGATGTGGTCAACCAAGCCGTCTGTCATGAAGTTGGTACTTCCAGCCTTTGCGAATGCACCCGCTTTCTTGTACTTCATGTAGAGTTTGTAGCCTGGATGTCAGACCCAATACACTGGACACAAAGTATCTCAGTGATTACATTATTTCATCCACCGCCAACCCCATAGAATTTGTAGACACTCAAAAAGGAACAGGCCAAGTGTAAGCTAATATATGTCCGAGGTGACTTAGATGCATTGAGTTCTTTGTTAGAACCTAATTGAGCCTCGCTGGGGCACGCCGCCGCATATCGTCCTCAGACAATATGTACACAAGTGCCGACAGAAAGTAGTGCGGACAATAACAAAACATCTAGTTCAAAGTGTTCGCTTTTCAGCTATTGGCATTATTTCCAGATTGTGCTACATCCGTGCAGTTAAAAACTATAATTGTTTGTTTCATATATATGTCGTAACGTTGGTAGAAAGCTTACCAGTCCCGTGGCGGATGGATATAGGCAGAATTCTCGTCCCACGGTCACCCAGGTTCAGTTGGAGAGGAAGGGCGGTGGTGTGAGGTAGGTGCTGCATTTTCAGGTCGTTTTGTGTTCTGAATTGGCCCTTTGGTGATCATCTACTCTCCAAGCAGAGGTTTGGGTTTTGGGGGTATTTTTAGCGTGTTTTTAGGCTTTTTTATCGGGGTTTCTCTTTTGCACTGAATTTTTTTTTCCACCAAACCCAACCTCTGCAGGCAGTCGAAAGCTTCAATGGGCTATAAACCTAATCTCTTCAACACATTTCAGTCGTTCTGCAAGGAGGTGTGAACCAGACGCATGAATAGGCACAGTCAGCAGGAGGCATGTGGCCCAATGAATGCCTTTCTGACTACCTAGATGTGTGATAATCCACCACAATAAAATGGATATCCCTAATGACAGTTTGATGGTTCCCGGGGAGGGGCACTATCGCCTGTTTTGAATAGCTTTTAATAGGTTTGCCCCTCCCCGGGGTGAGTGCCGGCAGAGGTTGGGTTTGGTGGAAAAAAAAATTCAGTGCAAAAGAGAAACCCCGATAAAAAAGCCTAAAAACACGCTAAAAATACCCCCAAAACCCAAACCTCTGCTTGGAGAGTAGTGATCATCAACTTATGTAGAATGAATCCTAAGGATGTTACGGTTACTCGTAAATAGACGTGGACAAGTTTTTGTGAAGGAAACTCGATTGATTCTGCCGTTTAGTTGAGCTGCAATTGTTTGTGTCTGTACGGTAGAGTTTGTGGAATGTGTCTCGTGTCCAGTATTAAATCTGTTTGCTCCAACCTTTGGTCACGAAAAAAAATCTCTGGTTTATGGATATAGAAAACGTCCACATTCTGTTGTGTAACTGTTAGGCAGGCCGCGCCTGGCGGCCTGCTGACATGTGATGGATTTTATTTTGTTTACGTGTCGGCGGACGAGAACTGCGTAGTTCGCAATAGTCTCGGACAATTTGCCCTGATTACTAGTACACAGCAAGCATATATTTTCATTCGTGTTTTTTTTCTTATGTATGAAGAGGGTATACGTACATTTGAAAAAATGTTGGGAACCGAAAAAAAATGGTTGATTTATACCGGGATAGCTACTGCCTCCGGTAGACTTTTCATGTCTAAGTAGTAGAATTTTCATGTCTAAGTAAAAACCTACTTGACCAATTTCTACCGTGTTGTGTATTTTGTCTAAGGGTTTGGTACTAATCCTTACATTCGTGTTTCCTCTGCAGCTACTCCTGAGATGAACATCAAACACTGTGGATCGGCTGTGATGAGGACCATCCCGTATAGAACAGCTAAAGTCGTACACACAAAACAGAAGATCAGTAAAAACAGCATCTTCTTGCAGCGAAGCGAGCCTTTTAATATCTAACCCGCGCTCATATCTTAAAACTACACTGGTCGTTTATAAACATTACTGACAGAGCAAATAGTTATTGATTGGTTTGTGGCAGATCATTCAGTGAATTCAATGATTGTTAGTTTAGGTCTATTTCCTTGAGCTGTCCTGCCTCTTGGAAACCCAGACTTCGGGGACTGTGCCACTGGCTCAGTGGGGGCAGGTTCAGCTTGGATGGTTGGATTTTGCAGCCATTTTCTATTGTTTTTTTGCTGTTGTTGCCTCAATTTTGAAACAATGCAAGTGAGGGTCGTTTGAGGGTTAGTGCACTATTGAATATTGTTGGCTCAGACTCACTGAAACCCGTGTCCGAAGAGTTTCTTGAAGACGGTACTGCATGGCCCCTAGGCCGCTTCCCTAGCTCTCTCTGGCCGATGACAGCAAGTGTATCCTTATTAGGAGATCCATTTGCATGAGCAAAAAAGACATACACTACAACATTATTAGATCATGATTGATAAAAAAGATATATCAGCAGTTTGCATTGTAGTTCTCGATATGGTGTTCTCCTAAAGAGAGGGCTTTTATTTGCAACTGAGCTATGTGGGTCTTTTAAGTCATCCCCATCATGTGTGATAAATACACTATTCTGGGCCTTCAACCGCTCACTCGGACTGTCTATTGTCCCACCTCCATCGGAGGGTGGTAGAAGTACAGGGGGACCCAGTAACTTAGATTCTAGCGAGCCAGTCACGGGGATCAAAATATCCCTTCCTACCGCAGCTACCTTGGGCCTAACACTATCTAATTCCTTGGACATCTTTACGGCTACCCTCACCGTGCCTGCAGTAGCTGAGATCGGCAATTAGGCCTATTCTAACCACTTACTAACTAACTTGTCTATCAATACCCGCTAAATAAAATAAAACTAAAATTCACCCCCTTCGACGCGTCTCACAGCGTCTCGACAACAACAGTCCTTACACAAACGACGAATAACCCGAACTATAATAACAACAACCTTCCTGGGTACTTCTGCACCGTTCTCCCGGTCAGTAACTTGCAGTACATGTATAAAAACAACAATCATTCCTACACTTACAATTTATAAACAGACCCTGACTACCATGTCCTCTGCGAGTACCCCATCGTAGCCCCAAGGGGCACGGCGTGTGACTCCTCCGGTACCTGTACCATTGAGAACCCTATCGTTGGCATCGTCATAACACTTACTCCATACGCTTCAAGCCGGCCACGTACTACCTGGAGCTCATAGGGATATGTATACCACACGCACCCGTGTACATGAGGGCCGAGCTGCACCAGTTCACGCTGACAGTAAAATTGATAGTCGAAACTAGCGGAGTAGTTACAAATCCAATCTAACCATAACGAGTCAGATTCTTGGAACGTAAGGATCAAAATGGCGCCGGCCAATTGGTCCGACATGGGCCTTCTTTCTAACTGTTCCTACCGTCCTCCTACCAGTTCACCCTCGCCGGGATCGGAGCGACTATCGACCCGTATTCCACCACGGCCGAGCAGTGTATTGCTCTCCTGAATAGTTCTTGCCAAGTGTTTCTCAACTCTGCTGCTGAGAGGAACCAAAACACTTTGTATCCTAAATGAGTTCCTAGACGTACTGTCTCTATCTGCCTAACTATCTGATAACCTGCCCTGATTTCCCCAACCACTAAATGATCTACTTCCCCGTAGTGATTTATTGATGATAAAATGCTATCGACGATTCTAGGTTATGTTGAGCACTGGCATGGAGCATGTGTGCCCAGAATCGGTATGTAAGAGTCATTGGTCAGTCTATTTCATATTTCAGTTATTTACAATCACCTAGCATAATTATCGAGCATCTTATCAAGATTATCGTTTCAAGTAGCCAATGTAACAAGTTGACGTAAATTTGAAAAAAAAAAATAGCACTCTTCATTACATGGGAGGAGCAAGTTTGGAGAAGTCTTCCTCTTAACGACGACCCTGGCATTTCCCATTATTATTCTAAAACATGGATCCAGATGGCTCGTCATTGTTTCCGCTGCAAATACTGATATTACTGACGACATCAGAACCACACTTCCATCGACAATGAAAAGCGGAATACTGCTTAAGTTGTTGTAGCCGTATACTTTGGCTTTTGAGTGGCGGAATGTGTGTAGGAAATACCTGAGTGGGGGGGGGGGAGGCTGTAAGTGAAAACCCCAATAGGAACTTCCCCAAGAGGGACACGGACTTTTCCAGCATTCTCTGCTGTCTTCATGGCTTCAACAAGGAAGTCTGTATTATGTATGTCCCCGTTCCACTCGCCACCCCTATGCCCTTGTAAGGGTGTCCATGTGAACGCCGACGATGGTAGCTAAGTGACTTAAGCCTCGATGGGTGCCCGTACAAAGTTTATAGGAATAGCCACCACCTTCTTAATATCCCGGAAAGTCCTGGGGTTCGCAGCAGGGGCCCTTAGCACTTCTCCACGTACTAGTATCTGGCGGTGCAGCCACTCGTCCCTTATTCCGTCAAGGAACTGGTCTCTTAAGATGCTATCAGTATCAACCTGGGGCTGTCCTCTCCGCCTATCTGCACGTTTTAGTAACTCTTGATGAGCTAGAGCGTAGTTCTGTAGGGTTTCTCTCGGCAGTTGCGCCCTTGAGTAAAACTGACCCATAATGACAGAAACGGGCCGTGTCTCCAAAGGCTTCTACCAGTCTATCTTTCAATCTCTCAACATCTGCCTTTTCTGCATTTGACAATACAGCCACTTGCCTTCGAGCTTCTCCCAACTGACGATATAATAAACCGACCCGGTGTCCTTCGGGAACATTGAAAAGATCACTCATCTAGCCACTCCTCGACAGACAAACTAGATCCTGCCTAGCTAAACTTGGGCAATTTCCTGTCGGAAGGCATGTAACCCAGTCCGAAGTTCACGACTGGATTCCCCTGGTTTTATTGGTTATTCAGTTTATGATTATTGGGAGGAATTGGGCCGTTCTGGTTTTCGGGGTTAACTTCCTGATTATTTGGGGGGTTTACTCCGTCAGGGTGATTTGGGGGGTTTACTGCATCCTGATAATCCATGGTCTTCTACTGTCAAAAATATT